AATTGAATGAAGTGACGATCTTTCGTCATACCAGAACAATGCATCCACTGAGACCCATCCCCTTAAAGATATGGTGAAATGCCTATAATGAAACCTACAATTTCTTCCTTTCATTTTCTTTCTCTCTCTATCCCTCAATCAACACCAGATATGGATTTTTACCACAAAAAAAAAAAAAAAAAAAACAAGATATGGACATTTTCCCTTTTAATTTCTCTTTTTTGCTTGGTTGCTATTGGGTCAATCGAAGGAACCCAACAACGCTTGCTTTCCTGAACTTGTATGCCACCATTCGTCGAAAAATTCTGTTCAATTCCTTTCTCAGAAATTCAAATCATCTTCTAAAATTGTCTGCAAATATGTCTTGCTCTTTTTGGTATGTTCGTGAAGAGAAGAAGGGTGACGAGCTGCAGGAGAGTGGCAAGGCCGCTCCAAGCACTTGTAGCCCATGCCTTTTCATTTTCTCTCCCCTTCCTTAACACTAGATTTGGGTTCCTTGGCAAGTTCCCATTTACTCAGCTTCATGCTTCGTGCTAGTGAAATTGATGATGATGATGAAGAGGAAGATGAGGCTGCTAATGATTAGGATGAGGACGGAGGTGAGAGGAAGATGGATTTGCTGAGGACAGTGAATGGCAAGCTAGAAGGAGAAAGGAGAGGAGAGAGGGTGCGTTAGGAATTAACGGAGATTAACGGATGGTAGGTGTGTGTAACGGAGTGTGTAAGGATGGTGTGTGTATATATCATGGTCCCACAAATTAATACTTTCATGAGTGGTGCTATACGGACAATTTTTTTGTACCACTTTTTGATATAATTTTCACGTGTCATTAAATAAATGGATGCATTTAATATCACAGGTCTCACATGAATTAAAAGAATCAATTATTTAAATGACACGTTAGATTATATTAAAAGATAATACAAGAAGATTGTCCTAAAAGATAATACAAGAAGATTGTCTTAAAATCATTTCCCTACTTTTATTTTAGAAAAACTACGTGGAAAAAATATGATGATTTGGCAATTTTTCATACTTTAAAATTTAAAAACAATTAGTGCATCTGTATTATTTTATCTAGATGATAAATTTATTAATAATTTTAATAAATTTTTAAAAGAAAATATGCAATTACAATATTAACCCTCCCCTTATCTTCAACCCCCCATCCCTTTGCCATTTTTATTTTTTTCCCTGTTCTCTAGTTTTAACCTTGATCGGGTTTGGGATTGCAAAGATTTTGTGGCTAGGGTGGTTGCAGCACTCAAATTTGGGTTATTGTGGAACCCAAAATTTTTTATGAGTTTGATTTAGGGAATGGGTTCATCTTCATTAGGCATAAGGAGTTGGAATTCCTGATTGATCAAAACCAAGGCGTCACAAGTGGGTGCAAAGCAACAAACATCTATAAATGACACCGATCTGGAATGTATGGCTCCAATCTGGATGAGCATCGATCTATAATTCATGGAGGCTAGCAACAACAATGGTGATGGTGTGAAGCTTTGTGATGGAGCTCTACATATGATCCATGATCTGGGTATTTGTTTGGTTGGAGGAAAAATCATGGTGAGAAAATCTTGGGAAAAAAATTTTGATTTTATGGTAAATCTAAGAGAATTTGAATGAAAGTTTTCTTGCTTTGTGGTATGTTTATTTGGATATTTGTTTGGTTGGTGAAAACATCATGAGAAAAAAATTTCAATTGGTTTATGGGGTTTTTATTGAATTGTTGAAGTTAAGCTTTAGATTGCATGTAGATGGAATTGGATTGATGGAGATGAATTTCTTTTGCAAATTTTTGGGTAGCCTAGTTGTTTGGTTGCAGAGAAAATCCACAGGAAAATGAATTTGTTCTTTGATTTTGTTAATTTTCCTTAAAATTTAAATTTAATTAACATTGTAAAATGGTAATTATTTAATTATTTAATTGTTTACCTAGATGACCAAGTTTGAATTAACTTCTTCAATTTTTTAATTTTACATGTGGAAATGTGGATTATATGTGGAGGTTGCCAGATCATCAATGTGACATGGTTTGTTTACCTGTAATTCTTTGAATTTCAAAAATATAAATTCTGGTATGTTAACGTGCTAGTTGGGAACTTTCGTTGACGGAACGACCAAGTTGGCAATGAAAAAATAAAGTTTAAGGACAAATTTGGTAATTTAGTAAGTTTAGGGATGAACTTGGTCCAAAACTGAAAGTTGAGGGACCCAATTGGGGTATTTAATCTAGTCTTCTATGTACCTTTTCTCAATATATTTTTTTCTTTTTTAATATTTGATGATCGACCATATATAATATGGAGTAACTCCATCTCGTTTATTGTTTTTCATTTATTTTAAGAGTTGAATTTAAAATTTTCAACATCTTTTAATGTAGTGGTATTTTCTTTAAGTCTAGCTAGGATAGGTACTACAATCTTGTATTGGTGTTAATTTTTTTTTTTTATTAAACCAAAGGTATATTAAAAAATAAAAGAATTACAATGTATTTATGTTTGCCACACAAGGAGTATATAAAAATAAATAAGCATAACATATAGTAGAAATTATAATCACTTCGAGACTGATCTAATCAATGTGTTTACAGACCTAACAATCAAATACATATATGAATATCATAGTTAAACTTGAGTTTGAGATATAATAGTTAAGTTTCTTTCTAATATATACCATCTAGACAAAAGATATTGCCTATGATTATAGGAGTAACAACAAGGCTATAAGATGTAAAAGGATTACTTTTTAAACTTCTTCAGCTATTCAGTAATCTCACTTGTTATACCAACTTTAGGGTGAGCAAGCAGCTTGGCAGTATGATAGTCTTTTTCCACTATGTCACCTTGCAAATATTATTATTTTATTAAAAATAATAATTGATATATTTTCTAGTTCAACATATCCCCTAACATATTAATTAAATAATTATTATTTTTAAATTTAAATTAAAGGCATAAAAACTAAAAATTACATTTTTTAATAGCTAAACTAGTAAATGTTACAGGGTGTATTACACTAAAGAATATACCAATTATTTTCTATCTACAAAATAAAAGAGCAATCCCAAAAATTAGTATTTTTTTATATAACCATATGATATTTTTCAAATAAGTTGCGTTTCTATAGAAATCTTGAACCAAAATCTTTAAAAAATTCAAAGGATTGCACAAACTAATAAATCTATCCAACTTAATTATTGGACTAGTATCCACAAAATCATTGCCTGATACATAATTGCAAGAAACGATTTCATTCAATTGAAACTTAATGAAGTAATGACGAACCTAAAAACCGTCTTCTGTACCCAAACAATGTGCCGCACCCTGAATTTAATAAAATTATTACTTTGTTGCCCTAATACTGCGGTTTGCGGGACCCTCTTCGTTCAACTTCAATTGAATTTCCAACTAACTAAAAACCCTAAACAATGCGGCTACCAACAGCGCAAAAGCTTTTGCCGTTAGATTTTGATCAGTTAAACGAAAAGAAGGATAAATA